TAGTTCTAGCTTTATCATCATGGCTAATTGGAGATGAGTCTTACAGACTTTCCTGCCTGGGCTGGATTTGAACTGTGATCCTCAGATCTCAGCCTCCTAAGTAGCTAGGATTACAGGCATGAGACACTGGCACCTGGCTGTGAGTTCCCAGTTTTAGCCCTGTTGATGTATACCCAGGAGAAGAGTTGCTGGCCTGTATAGTTGTTCTATGTTTAACTTTTTAAGGAACATTTTGTATACCTCTTTTTTGTGTGTGCCAGTTCAGAGGCTTGAACTCAGGGCCTGGGTACTGTTCCTGAGCTATGTGCTCAAGGCTAGTACCCAACTACTTGAGTCACAGCTCCACTTCCAGCTTTTTGGTGGCTAGAAATAAGGGTCTCATGGACTTCTCAACCTGGGCTGGCTTAAAACCATGATCCTGAGATCTCAACCTCCTGAGTAGCTAGGATTACAGGCATAAGCCACTGGCACCTGGCAACTCTTTTATATTTCTTTTTTTTTTTTTTTACAAAAGCTGAGAGATCATTGAGTTAGCAAAACGTAACCAGAAAGAACTTTAAAGAACATTAAATTCAATTTCCTAGGGTTGGAGATTTAGCTAAATGAAAGTGTTTGCCTAGCAAGTAAGTGCAAGAACTTGAATTCAGTCCTCAGCATTATAAAAACAAAGTCACTTTCTTCTTTTCTAAACATTGAGCTGAAGAAATGAGGGACAGTGCCCAGGCCCAGAGTTCAAGCCCCAAGGCCAAAAAAAAAAAAAAGATGAATTTACTTAGCAGGCTGGGAATGTGGCTTAGTGGTAGAGTGCTTGCCTAGCATGCATGAAGCCCTGAGTTCAATTCCTCAGTACCACATAAACAGAAAAGGCCAGAAGTGGAGCTGTGGCTGAAATGGTAGTGTGCTAGCATTGAGCAAAAAGAAGCTCATGGACAGTGCCCAGGCCCTGAGTTCAAGCCCCAGGATTGGCAAAAAAAAACCCACTTACCATGTGAGAGTTCGTGGGTTTAATTCCTACCCCCCCCCCCTCTCTCTCTCTCACACACACACACACATTCAGGATTCCAAGCCAGGCGCCAGTGGCTTACAACTGTAATTTTAGTTATTCAGAAAGCTGAGATCTGAGGATTGCAGTTCAAAGCCAGCCCGTGCATAAAAGGGGCTGGGAAGGTGGCCCAGAGGTAGAGTACTTGCCTCGCATGCATGAGGTCCTGGGTTCGATTCCTCAGCACCACATAAACAGAAAAAGTTGGAAGTAGCACTGTGGCTCAAGTGGTAGAGTGCTAGCCTTGAGCTGAAGAGCTGAGCGACAGCACCCTGACCCAGAGTTCAAGACCCACGACTGACCAAAAAAAAAGAAAAAAGAAAAGTTTGAGAGACTCTTAACTCCAATTAACCACCAAAAACCTCAAAGTAGAGTTGTGGCTTAAGTGATGGAGTGCTGTCCTTGAATGATAAAGGGACAGCACCTGAGTTTAAGCTCCAGTACTAACACAAAGAAGGGCAGGATTCATTAGGCAAAATGTAGTCACTGTACTGTGGTGCTTAAATGGTAATTTTAACAAAAAAATAATAAAAAAGTATCCTTCAAACTATGTATGACAGTTTTCTCTGTCATAATACTTTGGGTAGTTTCTTATTGAAAATTACACAAATAATTATAGGTTAGCATGAAGCAATAAAAAAACACACACACGGGCTGGGAAGTTGGCTCAGTGGTAGAGCCCTTGCCTTGCATGCCTGAGGCCCTGGATTTGATTCCTCAGCACCACATAAGCAAAAAGAAAAAAGCTGGAAGTGGTGCTGTGGCTCAAGTGGCAGAGCACTAGCCTTGAGCTGAAGAGCTGAGGGGCAGAGCCCAGGCCCAGAGTTCAGGCCCCACGACCGGACCCTCCAAAAAAACAAAAACAAAACAACAAAAAAACCACACACACACAACACAAAGAAGCCAGGTGCCAGTGGCTCACAACTATAATCCTAGCTATTAAGGAGACGCATGAGGATAGTGGTTTGATGTCAGCCTAGAATTAGAGATGTGGCTCAAGTGGCAGAGTGCTAGCCTTGAGCAAAAAAGGTCAGGAAAGCACCAAGGCGCTGAGTTCAAGCCTATGACAGGCATCACACCACACACACAAATATACAGTGATGCATTGGTTATTGCTGTAATTCTAGCAAGTCAGTGGCCTGAGTAATTATTAGAGATTCTAGAGTCTGAAGCCAGGCAAGGTTGAAAAGTCTGTGAGGCTCCATCTTTGACCAGCAAAATGCTAGGCTAGAGGCATGGCTCAAGTGGTAGAGCACCAGCCATTGAGTAAGCAAGCTGAGCAAGAGGGAGAGGCTCTATGTTCAAAACACACAATTCCTAAGTACCAGCACACAAGAAAAGTTTGAAACAAAACAAAGAAACAATACTGTAAAAAGATGTAAATTTACCGTTTCCTCTAATAGATCAACTTATAAAAAAAGCAAAACCATCAATAGAATAATATCTTCTGAAATCAATAAATAAACTTGAAGAGGGGATTCTAAACGGGAATGTCAACTTTTCTAGCCTTTATGTTCATGATAATACTTAGTACTCTATGCTACAATTCCTTTTTTTGTTTGTTGGTTGGTAGTGGAGCTTGACCTCAGGACCTGGGTGCTGTCCCTGAGCTTTTTTGCTCAAGGCTATTGCTCTACCACTTTGAGCCATCACTTCTGGCTTTCTGGTGGTTAATTAGAGTCTCAATGACTATACTGCAAGGGCTGGCTTCGAACTGTGATCCTCAGATCTCAGCCTCCTGAGTAGCTAGGATTACAGGTGTGAGCCACTGGCGCCCAGCTACAATTCTTTTTCCTCATAAATCTATTCCCCAGTAATTTGAGATTCCTTAGAGCAGGAACTAGGTCTCATTATTTTTCTATTTCTAGTGCCAGTGAAAGGCCTAGTATATAGTGAGTGGTGTAGGAATAAGGCAATAGTATAGAATGCATTTTTTAAAAAAATCCCCGAGTCCTATGCCATCAAGCATTCATGTACTACCTGGCTTGGTGGTACATGACTATAATTTCAGCTACACAGAAAGGAGACAGGAGGATCTAGGTCTGGGGCTAACTCAGACAAAAAGTGCAATTTCATTTCAAAAATAAGCTGGCAGGGTGACTTATACCTGTGGTTCCAGCTACTCAGGAGGTAGAAGTAAGAGGATAGGGCTGAGGCTAGCCCAGGCAAAGTTAGCATGAGATCTTATCTAAGAAACAAACTGGCCAGGTGCCAGTGGCTCATGCCTGTAATTCTCACTACTCAGGAGGCAGATCACAATTCAAAGCCAGCCCGGGCAGGAAAGTCCATGAGACTATCTCCAATTAACCACCAGAAAACTGGAAGTGGCGCTGTGGCTCAAGTGGTAGAGCGCTAGCTTTGAGCTGAAGAGCTGAGGGACAGCGCCCAGGCCCAGAGTTTAAGCCCCATGACTGACCAAAAAAAAAAAAGAAAGAAACTAAAAGCAGAACTGTCCAAGTGGTAGAGCACTTGCCTAAGTTCAGGCCCTGAGTTCCATCCCCAGATCACATACACACACAAAAACTCAAATTCCTTTCATCATTTAAAAATGCTATGAGGCAAGGTGCTGGTGGCTTGTGCCCATAATGCTAGCTAATAAGGAGGCTGAGATACCTGAAGATCAAGATTCAAAGCTAGCCTAAACAGACAAATTTGAGAGAATACCATCTCCAATTATTGAGCAAAAAGCAATAAATTGGAACTGTGGCTCAAGTGGTACAGTGGCAGCCTTGAGTGAAAAGGCTAAGCAAATGCTCAAGGCCGAGTTCAATCCCCAGTACTAGGGGTGGAAAAAGTAAAAACAGAGATATAGCCAGGCTCCAGTGGCTCATGTCTATAATCCTAGCTACTCAGCGGGGTGAGACCTGAGGATCATGATTGAAAGCTAGCTGAGGCAGTAAATTCCATAAGACTCTTTGTCTCCAACTGACCTGCATAGTGGAGCTGTGAGTCAAGGGGTAAAGACTAGTCTTGAGCAAAAACACTCAGGGACGGAGCCCAGGCCCTGACTTCAAGACTCAGGACCAACACAAAAGAAGGGAAGAAAAGAGAGCTACAGAATCAATGTTGTTTACCACGTTTCATTTATATATTCCATGTCCATTTTCCCTATTAGGTTGTTTGCATCATAAAGGTATGGTGCCTGTACTTTGTTCTCCTTTTCATTGCTTCAATTTTAGCATACAATATTGGCGAAACAGAGCTGTCAATCAAATTGTTAAATATTCAAGGTTTATAACAGTCTTCTAGAATATAACAACAGCAGAGTTAATTATCTTCACATTTAAAACAACTTTTCTAAGTACCTACACAATATAAAGTTGCAATATTATTCTTTCATACTATAAGCAGAATGTTAGTATGTTTGGAAACCTAACCTTACAGAAATGGCACATGATATAAGAAAGGCTATTTACCTAAATTTATTACCCATTTAGCAATGAGTCAAGTACTCTTATCCCTCTTTATCACTGTCCCATTTAAGACAGACTGACTCATCATTTCAATAAATGTAAAAACTATGATACTTCATAAGAAGTTAGGAAAAAAGGTTTTTGTTTTGTTTTTTGGTCGGTTGTGAGGCTTGAACTCTGAGCCTGGGCGCTGTCCCTGAACTCTTCAGTTCAAGGCAAGCGCTCTACCACTTGAACCACAACACCACTTCTGGTTTCCTGATGGTTAATTGGAGATAAGAGTCTCATGGGCTTTCCTGCTCAGGCTGACTTTGAAATGTGGTCCTCAGATCTCAGCCTCCTATTTTAATAGCTAGGATTACAGGCATGAGCCACCAGTGCCCAGCCTAGAAAAAAAGTTTTAACCAACCTCTCTGTTTCCACTCAGAAGCTCTACCTACATAATTAACAGTGTTAGACAGTGACAGATCCTACTTAGGGCACAAAAGCTCAGAAAACCAAAATAATGTTCTGATAAATTGGCAAGCAACTTCTTCAAGCAGGAAGACCAACAATATTTTATTTTATTACAAATAAAACATTTCACAAAAATTGGTTTGGGAATGTATATGTACTGGTAAGCAGAACACCAAAAACATAAAGAAACAAAGTACTCAGACCTAAAAACTGCATTTAAAATGTCATCAACTCTATTTTACACATAGTAGGTATGCAGTACATATCAACTGAACTGAAAATAAACACTCTGTAAGATGTGCTTGCAAAATGTGTAATGCTGTAGTAGTAAAGTACAATTTTCAAATATGACATTTCATTTGTCAGATGTTCTAAAAGCCTTTAAAAATATATGCACAAGCTTGCCCTGAGGGAAAAATAAGATGGAATATAGATTACAAAATCTTTACATATTTTCCACAATAGCATTTTGAAACTGGAAAAGAGCAAATAGTTGTGGAAAAAACTGAACGAACATATTACCAAAAATTCAGTGCACTCACAACTACCTGATGGAAAAGTTGAAGCACCGTTTCTCTAGCCTTCTTATATTGTATTATGAAATGTATGAATTATATAGGCCTTGATCTTCAGAAACTTAAGAAAAACTTCAAGTTATAAGCCAAAATGTCATCAGAAAAAGAAAAAATCTGGTATAAAATTTGCTACTGTAAGGCCACTGTAAAGTTCTTTCATGTACATACATACGATTTTCATAGTTTTATTTCCAAACCAAAGCTTTCAACATATAAATGTCCAGATATAACTTTTTCTCAGTGAAACCATGCTTGGAGAAAAATGCATCAAGAAATAATGCCCTTCAAGTGATTCTATTGAGACATTTTGCAAAGAAACTGTAGTTAATACAACTTTTAAATTGAATACTGTATTTTAAAAGCAATCGTTAAGTGTAAAAATGTTGCAGCATTCCACTACTGAAAAATAGTTATTTTTATCAAGAAAGTTACAGTATTAGTGCCTTAGTGCCAATTCTAACTCTTGACAAAAAGAGATGCTTCCAAATATCCTTCAGTAGTGTTGTTTCCATTTGTAGTAATTCCAAACTACGTTTCAGTGTCGTCTGTATATTCCTATAGAGAGAAAACAAGAGAAATACAGGCTTCAAAAAGATAGTCAGTTATGACATCTAAGCTAGAGTTAGTTCACAATGTAATTTTGAAAACAGTTTAATTTACATAGTACTTTTTGCACCTCAAAATCCCCACAAAGGTATGTGGGGTCCCAAAGAAGCAAAGTGACACAGAACACATCAAAGCAGATATCAAAGGATAAGGACAAAAAAACCCCACATATAATACTAGATAACACTGGTATTAGTAAATTGATGAAAACGACTTTCTGCTATTTGGGTGAGTTCCAGTGGAGCCAACCCTGGCATAAACTGAAGACTCAAACCTTAGTCTCTCCAGTACAAGCACAACCTGAAACTGGTACTCTATCTCTTTCATTATACAGGATTCTCCAATTCTAAAACTATTTGGACTGTTCTAATGATGGATATCTGCAGAGAAAACTACTAGAAGCTTTGTTGCTGTTAGATGGTTAATGAAACAAAAACGTAAGGTTTCAATAAATATAGGAAAAGGAATTTACGTGAACAGGAAGACTATGATTAAAGGGTAATGAATGTGGACTTTTTTATTGGATACTAAGCAAAATATTAAATTGCCAATCACAAGCTGAACTTAAGACCATGCAACTAATAAAATAAAAACTGGTAGAATGACATAATTTTCGGGGACATTAATAAATAAATCAATAATACATGTATCCTTACCTTTTACTAGGATCTTACATTATTAAAACTGAAAGAAATTTAAAAGTTGATTTATTTTTTTGGCACTTACATTACTAAGAAAATGTTTAATTCCAAACAAAAACAGTGGTAATAGAAATTATTATTCTTCTATTTTGGTTAATAAAATGTTCATAAATACAAGCATATATAGTTTTGTCAACATCATTCCTTTAAATAAATCAAAGTAGATTTCATTGTATTCTATTTCTTTACACATTGTAAAAATCATGTAATTTGTCTTCAAACAAAAGATCTGTTAACTATTAACTTTACAAGGATATACTAACTACAATAATTCTGAAGAAAATTTCAATGGAAATACCTTGTTTATAAAAATGTGCAATTAGGGTGGGGAAGGGATGGAAAACTGGGAGAGAGTGAGGAAAGGGATGACATTGTCCAAAAAGAAATGTTCTTGTTAGCTAACTTATGTAACTAAGCCCTCCATGCGTCACTTTTAAAATAACAGTAAAAAATTTTAAACATGCAATTATTATCAACTACTTCCACGCTTGACATAGTTTCTTTAATACCTACTGTCTCTCAGATTGGTCCCTGACCCTTTCAATGATTTGAAAATCTTTTTACAAAACTTGTTAAAATAAATATACAAGCCCCTTCTCATGTATTTGTTTTTGTCAGTCATGGGGCTTGAACTCTGGGCCTGGGTGCTGTCCTTCAGCTCTTCAGCTCAAGATTAGTGCTCTACCACTTGAGCCACAGCGCCACTTCCAGTTTTCTGGTGGTTCATTGGAGATAAGTCTCATGGACTTTCCTGCCCTGGCTGGCTTTGAACTGCAATCCTCAGATCCAGCCTCTTGAGTAGCTAGGATTACAGGTGCAAGCCACTAATGCCCAACTTCATGTATGTTTACAACTTGACACTTGGGTCCCTGCAAATGTTTCATGTTGGTCTTCCTGTACCACATCTTTCCCCCACAGCCCTACCTCTTGTTAATCAAGTGAGCATCCTAAAGTACCACTTTCTCCTCAGTGTAAGAAGAGGTACTACTGCTACTATATGAAGTCCTAAATATTTTCCCCAGATTTTGGAGCCTTGTCTAATTTTCATTCTATTTCTTTCTAATTATATAGCCTATTGCCAAGCACAGATCATTAACTTTAGCTAAAGCTATCCAGCTCCCCTCCATGTCTCAACTTACAGCCTACTTCCTCCATGAAGAATATGTGAAAATACTTAGCATGATGTAGAATGATTTCTATAGTACTTCTCTTCTCCCCCTTTACCACTTGTGAAATCAAGCTCTTCAAAAATATAGTTGTAAGCCGGGCGCTGGTGGCTCACGCCTGTAATCCTAGCTACTCAGGAGGCTGAGATCTGAGGATCGCGGTTCAAAGCCAGCCCGGGCAGGAGAGACCGTGAGACTCCTATCTCCAATAAACGACCAGAAAACCGGAAGTGGCGCTGTAGCTCAAGTGGTAGAGCGCTCGCCTTGAGCTGAAGAGCTGAGGGACAGCGCCCAGGCCCAGAGTTCAAGCCCCACGACCGACAAAAAAAAATATATATATATATAGTTGTACTGAGGGATGGGGGTAAGATGGGAAGGGATGGGAAGGGGAAACAAAGGAGGAGGCAACAATGCTTGATAAGAAATGTACTCATTACCTTGCTCATATTAATTGTAACCCCTCTGTGTGGTATTTTCATAATAAAAAAATATATATAGTTGTACAGTGGAGTGCCAGTGGCTCATGCCTGTAATCTTAGCTACTCAGGAGGCTGAGATCTGAAGATGAAGGTTCAAAGCCAATCCTGGGCAGTAAAGTCTGAAACTCTTATCTCCAATTAACTGCCCCAAAACCAGAAGTGGTGCTGTGGCTCAAAGTGGTAGAACACTACTAGCCTTGAGTAAAAAAAAGCTCAGGGACAGAGCCAGGCCCTGAGCTCAAGCCTCACAACCAGCAACGCAACACCACACACACACACACACACACACACACACACACACACACGTATATATACACACATACACATACACGCATATATATATATATACATGCACACATAGTTGTACAGAAAAAAGTAAACACAGTAGAAGATCTGCTTACTGTTGTTGAAAGGGTCTACTTATTACAAGGTTGACCCTTGGCTAGCATCTAGAAACTAAGATTTCAGGAAAGTTCCTGCCCTTAATTGGTGAGTGCTATGCTGATTATCTACTTTCCTTCTGGGAGACTGGAATTTGAGTGTATACACACAGGTAATGGTACCTACAAGATGTGGCCCCAATAAAAATAAGGCTGCCAGTATTCATAATATGCCAGAAATTATATCATTTACTATAATGTGGACCTAAAAGTAAGATAACCAAAAAGATGCAAGAAGGTAGATAATTTTACAAAATTTTAGAGTATGTGAGCCAAAAGTTTTGCAAAGCCCTGAAATACAAAATGCATCTAAACATGGAATATGCAGTCACTAAAATGAATGAAATGAAATGAGTGAGTGACAGAAATAAGATTTGAGGATTCATTAGTAGGACAAGTTTCTAGGTTGGCTTGGCTAACCTCAAAGTGTTATGGACCATGAGGGGAGATCAATTGTTTAGGAACGTAAGTTTGGTATTTTTAACAGCTTTACTGAAATATAGTTCATATTCCATTCAATTATTTGAAGTTTATAGTTCTGTGGCTTTCTAGTATATTCACAGTGATGTACAATAAATGATCATGATCATCTATTTTAGAATATTTTTCTCACTCTTAAAAAGGAACTCTATCCACACCTACTAAAAACCCATGCTCCTGCCCAATCTTCTCCTATACGCCTAGTTCCTGGCAATCATTAATCAACTTTCTGTCACTATGGCTTTTCTTGTCTTAAGAGATTTCATATAAATGGAGTCACACAATAGGTTATCATTTGTGTCTGGCTTCTGTCACTTAACTGTCACATTTCTAAGGAAGCTCACAGCTACCATGGGAGGCAGTGGAACAGCTGAAGTCTGGAAAGTAGTAAGGATGTAAGACAACAACAAATCTTGGGAAGAGGGGAGGGCATTTATGTAAAGTAGGAAGAACAACAAAAGAGAAGAGCACACGGGCACTGGTGGCTCATGCTTGTAATCCCAACTACACAGGAGGCAGAAAGATTGGGGGAGAGGGAAAACAGCAAATATCACAGTTAAAAATGCTTACTTTTTGAGACAGGGTCCCATTATGTAGCACAGGCTGGCTTGGAACTCACTCTGTTCTTCAAGCTAGCCTCAAACTCATGATTCTGATGCCTCAGCCATCTGAGTTCTGAGATTACAGAACTCATATCTGGCACTCATATCTGATAGAAATGTTTGGTGGTCCCATTCTATCTTTGTGCTAAATGACTTTCAAGGACTCTTTTCCTGAAAGTCACAAATGTCAGGTTCTAACTTCCTTTCTGCTTCATTTTTATGGCCTCTCCTCTCTGCTTTCTATCCATGAAAAGGGATGTGGTGGGCACAAAACTTAGGAGCACAAGAGAACTGCTAGAAAGCCTATGGTACTAAAGAACTCTAAGACTTCTTGACCAAAAGCACAATTGCTGACAGTTCTTTCTTTTATTCTGATGCATATTCAGACCCTCAAGTGTTTCCAAAACCTTTTTATGGTAAGCAAAAGATATGTGATGAAGAAATGTCTGAATGTCAGTGGTTAAAAAGATAACAATCCTTGTTCCAGGTAATAATAAACACCCAACCTCATCTTCCATATCAAGCACAGAATCCAAGAAAAAAGAAACCTAGTAGAAGAGATCTGAGATACCAAAATGAGATTAACATGACAAACATGTGACGAATAAGGAATAATTTCACTTCTATATTTTTCTCTCTGCCTAGGAATCTCACTACTTTGTAGGCAGCTGGAAGCCAATACAGTTTTAGGGAAGCAACTATTAATCTAGTAAGCAGAAAAGATATATTAGGAGTACATGGATTTACCCCTGCCACTTCCTAAAGTTGTTTTGTGTTCTAGACAGGAAGCACATAGCATGATAGCACAGTAACCAGATTATCCTGCAGATGAGCGACAAAATATGTTCAAGTCATGAGTGAACATTTCAATATAGGGTCCAGACAAGAACAATGTATATATTCTGGTGGACTTTGAGGTAAGTGGGAATAAGTACATTTATATATAATTTTAGGGCACCTAGAGCAAGTAATCAATCATGTATCCTTAGTTATTCTAGGTAGTTGTTTAATAACTGCAAAAAGAATAATCTCCCTAACATGGCAAATCTTCAAAATGGTACTGACTAAGGATGTCTCTCCA